GTTTTAGTCAGATTATCGGCCAATATCAGGCCAAGTTAAAACTGATACGTTGGTAATTTGGTTTATTGTGGTTGCCAAACTGACCCATAGCAGCTATGTTTAGGGTTATTGACTTTATAATTACATCTGATTGTCTATTTGATATTTATTTTTTTCTATTTAATGTTGTCTTTGACAATTTTCCTTTAACAGTTCTATATGCAACTTTATTAATTTGATAGGCATTATCTGGTTATACCTGTAGAGCACATGTCAACAGTCAAGGATCTCAAAAAAAGAGATGAAGATTATGATTTAGGTATGTTGATTTCTGTTATACAAAGTTACATTGTTCATATTTATTTTTATGAATCAATCTTTTATTAACTTGGCAGTTTTCTCTTCATTTTTTATGTGTTACTTGTATAAATTGTAACATTGCATCCTCTTCAGTTAATCATATGCTAAAAGTGGGGCAGACTCTTTTGCTCAAAGACGCACCTTGCTCCAGGTTATATAGGTACTTCTAAACAAATATGGTGTGGTGTATTCAGCATTATTTATGCTTCTTAATTTTGTTTATATATGGTTTGGACATTCTTTGGCCGAAATGTTCACTCTGAAGCTATTTCATTATGTCATTTGCTTCTATGATAGGCATAGTGGTTAGGAAATTGATTAGCACTGTCTGATGATCTGATCACTTGTAGATTTTGTTAGAACATGACTTTTGTAAATGGTTTTTTTGTAAAGAAACATGGTACTACTCTTAATAAGAAAAACGTGGAAAAGAAATGAAATGCATATTGCTCTAGCAAATATGAAGTAAAAACTTTAGATAAATAAAGATACCGTGATCACTTGAATAACCTGTAAGTAGTATGATTTCCACAAATCTATACTATCTGACTAAAATAAGACCATGGCTGCCACATGAAAATTTTATAGAGATTTTCCTCTTAATAATACAAACGTATTAAAAACTCCTTTCAAATCCTCTCCTATCTTACTAAAATAAGATGCTAGTTGCCACTGCAAATTTCTAGATTGCCTCTTAAACTTCCACACAATAACTCTCAATCTATGAAAACCCTTTCTGTATACTCTCTAATTCTCTTAAACCTCCATGTAATAATCCTCAATTTGTTAAAAACGCCTTCCAAGTCCTTTCTAATTCCAATGCTTCCCATCTTCCTCTCTGATTATTTAATTAAGACTATGGAGAGGGGGTGGGGGTGTGGGGTGGGGTGGGGTGGAAAGTAGTGAAGTTAGAGAGGATATGGAAGGGATTTTTAACCGATTAAGAATTGTTATATGGAACTTTTAAGTGAATTAGAGGGGATCTAGGTTGAGCTTTTAATAGATTGATGATTACTATAAAGTATAAGAGGCAGACCTCTAGGAATTTGCCAAAGTGGTAATCAGGGCTTATTGCAAGATATAGAGGATTTTCAATACATTGAGGGTTATTATATGGAATTTAAGAGAAATGTCTTGAAATTTTCCATGTGACAAGAAGAGTCTTATTTTAGTAAGATAGTATAGACTGGTTAATTTCCCTCGATATAATGGATAACAACATTGTAACTCTAAGCCCCCCTGCATTGCATGGTGAAGAAACTAGTACACAAATACTATAAGACCTCCACTTTATCAAAAGCTTCTAAAAGCATTTCTCACAAAAACATTACGCCTCCTGAAATGTGAGTTTGCAGACACGTGACTCACTTATTGGTATAGTAACTAACATATATCCACTGCCCTTAGGAAGCGATTTTTGCTTTCCTATTCAAATTTGTTACACAGAACTTTCTGGATATTCTTTTCCTCTTGGCTTTCTGATTCTCAATTTTATTTCTCTACTTTTATGAATTTTCCTAATATGCATTCCCAATCTTTAAGAAGAAACTCTACAAGAACTTTTGGTAGATCATACTATGCCCAAAAATATAGTGAAAGTGAATGATCTTTTTGTGCTTTAACTGTATTGTAGGATATTGTCTTGTAAGTATAATAAGCTACGATGGGTGTTACAGGTGATGTCCCAGATTCTTTGACCATCTTGTCGACTATCAGAAATGTCTCTTGCTATGTAACTCTTTTTTGAGTGGTAAAAGGCAAATGTGAAAAAAATGCCAGTAGAACTTATTCCTCATCATATCATGAGAGTTGATCAACAATTCATTCGACACATCTCCATGCAACTTCCTGAGGCACTAGAATTACCATAAATATATGGACCTCAAGATTTTCTACATAGTGGAAAATGAAAGAAGCTTCTATATAAAGTCTGAAGTTTATATAACCACTCTCTGCATTCTCTATAACCTTGAAGTAAACAAAATGTTTCTTAGCTTATGGAGCTGCAATAAACCCCTTTACCCCCTTTACCGACATAGTTAATTTTCTGATTCCTGGTTAAGTTCCTACTCAAATTTCTCGTTGGAGACTCGAAAACTTGTTTTATCATTAAAATATAATAGCATTTGTGGTGTCCTGGTCCTCCATAAAGCAAATTTTTTATCAGGCTGCTGCTTTTTTGTTTATAAACAAAGGGACTTATAGATCATGAGCTTGGTAAGGTTTATTGTCTCTACCACAAGTTTGTGGAAAATGCCAGGAAGAAATAAAACTTGAACTCGATTACAAGACTTAATTTATTCGCTAGTCACTACCACAACTTCTTATTTTGAACCTTGGGTTGTTTTGGAGATAAGCAATTCGTAACTTAAGCATGTCGATCCACCATCAAAGTTTCAATATACCAGAGGAAGTATATCTCATTGGCTTTTTTTGTCACTTTGCTTGTTATACCTTTGATAAGGTGTTATAATGTTGGAGACAGTTGTGATGTAAGTTGACAAGATGGTCAAAGAAATTAGGTCGTTGCTTATGCCATCCATTATAACTTATGTTTGCATTGGACAGTGGAAGTAACCATATTTTCTTATCTATTAAAGTATAAATATTCATTGCCTTTTGCTTTGTCTTTGGATTAGTTGATAGGAATCACAGTCTTGCGTGATGATGCAACAAGGTTAAAGATTCTTCCTTCTCGATAGGAAGATAGCATAGAGAGAATATGAATATAGAAAGGGGAGAAAGTGTAGAAATTTGTTAAAACAAATTAACTTCTATAATTCATACCTAAACTGCCATACCTTCTTAGTGTTTTAGAAATTTTGTTAAGCAGATTAATTTTAATTTTTGAGCAAATAATGAACGATTGTTTTTGATATGATGAGAAACAAACATAATATGACTTGTATGGCACACTTAATTTAGAAGACATAATCATCTAATACTTTTGAACTTGCATGCCATTTATGTAGTTTTAGTGAATTACAGTATAATTGGTTGTACTGGTAATGGGGTACTAATTTACCAGGTCTTACATGCAAATGACCTTTGGACTGTGATTTTATATTTGGACAACTAACAAATAATATTCAGATAAGACAAATATTGTTTTATGTGGCTTTGGACATGATTTTAATTAGATATTGTAACCAAGGCTGTTTTAAATAGATCTTTTTTGTAGTAACTTGTTAGATAGTGTAAACAAGAGAATGGGCTTTAGATCCCACGATATAATCCATCAAAGAATCATAAAAATACACAAATTACCTTTTAAGTCTTCCGTCCTCATGCTCCAAATAAAAATCCTCGATTACCTTATTTGATACTGCTTTGTTTGCCAAAAATACGTCACAGACTAATTGAACTAATATTTTAGTTATATTTTAGTTACAACTCTAGTGGACAATCATAGTTTAAAAATTCACATCATCAACTAGTTGCACTGAAACACCATCAGTATGTGGGATTTGGTCTGTGATATGCAGTGTGTTAGTACAACAAGAATTTCTGCCGTGCATCACTAATTCAGCATAATTAGCGTGCAAGTTCAAGGGTGTGAGGTGATTATGCCTGATTAGGTCATCGTTTATGCTCGTTGACCATCATAACGAAAAAGGGCCATTATTCTCAAAGTTGCTATATTTAACCAATTTCTGCACCACTAGGAAAATGTAGCATTTTTTAAATGAAATATAATTTATCTGTGAGACAAAAAGTTGATAAAGAAACCCACTCTAGTAGTTAATACACCATACATGCCGTAGTTTATGTTTGTTGACCGTCACGACAAAAAAGGTCCATTATTTGCTCGAAGTTGATTGCTTTAACCAGTTTATGCACCACTAAGAAAATATAGCAATTTTGGTATGAATTAGAATAATTCATATATGGGGGAGAAAGTTTCTGATAGATATGTTCCTACTTTTTCCAAACTAGTAGATCTTACTGATGAATGGTTATACAAATCAACTATGCACTATTATACCATGAAATAATGTACATTCACTAATATTTTGTCGAGTTTGCTGAAAGGTTGAATTATGCAAGAAAAGGTTCTGTGCACTCATTGCTGGTAGATCTTCGACATGGAACTGTAATTATCATGTTTGTCAAATTTTATTTCCCAGTTTGGCTATATTTTTATATGCATTTCTTCCTTAATAGCCTACAATTGCAGATTTGGCTTCCATCAGCCTCCATTTAATAGCGTTAACCATCTCCATCTTCACTGTTTCGCTCTACCCTTCATGCCAAGGTACCGCTTAAGCTTCAGAATTCTCGAGATTTATGCCTCTTTTTCTAATTGCTTTGAGTTTTAACAGATGGAAACAGCTTAAATATACGAGTTTGGGACCCCTTGGGGGTTTCATAGAGGCGGAGAAGTTGTTAGATCAAATAAAACCTCTCCCAACTGTGAATTCGTAGAATCAATTCTTCTATGAACTCCACAATGGGTGATCCGGGCGGTTGCAAGGTTTCAATATGGCGCCACGTTCGTGGATTCGATTTCGGGCCGGGTTATTTAAAAAAACATCTTACGTGATTTAGATGAGATCGATATTAAAGTTAAATCTTATTGAACTCCACCACGGATGACTTAGACAGTTGTGAGATTTCAATATGGCTCAACGGTCTGAGATTCGATTCCGTGATGAGTTATTTAAAAAAAAAAAACTTGTGTGATTTGGATGAGATTGATATTAAAGTTGAAATCTCATTTGCTATTGTTCTTGTACTTATTTTGGCGTAGTTTAGAGTCATAGTGCAGAAGTATCATGTTTCTTAAAAAAATTAGGTGTAATGGTTTGTCAAAAAGAGGACGACACACTGTAATGTATTATGGTGTAAAAAAAATATTTTTTTTTGACACCATAAGTGGGTGGGTGGCAAGGCACTATTTTTAGTAGCCAAAGGCTTGGGTTCGAGGCTTGCCTCCCACGCCCCTCAATTATCTGACTAATCTAGTGACTAGGTGAGGTAGGGAGTGTTGCTCTTGAAAGTGGAGACCCAAACCTAGAATCAAAATCAACAATAGCAACAATAGCATGAAAATTCAAGACAGACCATGGGTATGGTCTGCATTGCACCAGGGTGTGACAGAATCTGTTCTGTCTGCCATGGGTGTGGTCTGCGTCACACCAGGGTGTGGCAGAGTCTATCCTGTCTGCCATGGGTGTGGTCTGCGCCACACCAGGATGTGGCAGAGTCTGTCCTGTCTGCCATGGGTGTGGTCTGCGTCACACCAGGGTGTGGCAGGCTCGTTTTAGAATCCTAATCTGTTTGGGATTGTGTTTTGTTATAAATAGAAACACGTCCCTTTAGGGTTTAAGAGAGAAAAAGAGCACGAAAAAAAGAGGGTTTTGAGGGCTCTTTGAGGTTAGAAATCTTAAAGAGAGAGGCCAATTGCAAGCATTGTAATCTTCTTCAAGTAATCAAAGAATTGTGTGGTGTGGTTCCCGAGGACGTAGGCACGTTGCCGAACCTCGTTAAATCTGGTGTGTTCTTTCTTGTTTATTTTCCTACAAGTTTTTATCTTTGATTTGTGGTGAATTTTCTTCTTGCTCAACTCTCAAACACAAGATCCTGAAGGGTACAAATTTGATTTGATTATTTCGAATCCCCAACAACTGGTATCAGAGCTTCGTTCAGCAATTTGTGTGAAAGAGAGCTATGGCAGAGGAAATCAAATCAAAGATTGAGAAGTTTAACGGTTCAGACTTCGCCTACTGGAAGTCGCAGATGGAGGACTACCTATACCAGAAGGACTTGTATCGCCCGTTGATGGGCAAGGAAAAGGGAAAGAAGAAGGAGGAGTCAGATGCTGATTGGGAGATATTAGATAGGAAGGCTCTAGGGCAAATCCGGTTGTCGCTCGCTAAATCAGTAGCCCACAATATTCTGAAGGAGAAGACGACGGTGGGGCTTATGGAAGCGCTCGCGAAGATGTACGAGCAACCGTCGGTAGCAAACAAGGTGCATCTAGTCAAAACTCTCTTCAACCTCAAGATGGCAGAAGGACGGTCCTTCACGATGCATCTCAGCGAGTTCAACACAATTGTTGATCAGCTTATCTTCGTGGACATCACGTTTGATGACGAAGTGCAAGCCCTATTGATTCTATCGCAGTTGCCGGATAGTTGGGCAGGTTGTGTGACGGCAATCAGCAATTCAGCGGGGAAGGAGAAGTTAAAGCTGAATGAGGTTGTTAGTATGATTCTATCCGAGGAGGTTAGAAGGAAATCGTCCGAATCAGAAGGTTCAGGTTCAGCCCTAAATTTCGAACAGAGAGGCATAAGCCAGAAAAAAGGGAACCAGAACAGGAATCGGTCAAAATCAGTAAAGAAGAGGTCGAACTCGAAGGTTAGGCCTATCAAAGGAAAGTGTTAGAACTGCGGCCAGGAGGGCTATATGTCTTCGGTCTGTAAAGCACCAAAGAAGGATGCGGGTGAGCAGGAGGCTCATATCGTGCAGGATGCCTTGATCATTGCTATGGATAGCGATTCTGATTCTTGGGTCATCGACTCATGAGCTTCTTTCCACGCCACTGCTAATAGGAAACTACTTCAGAACTATGTAGCAGGGGACTTTGGTAAAGTATACTTGGGGGGACAATGAACCTTGCAATATTGTTGGAAAGGGTGACGTTCAGATACAGATAAAGGGCTCTAAGTGGAATTTAAAGAACGTGAGACACGTGCCGAAGCTGAAGAGGATTCTTGTTTCGGTGGGACAGCTTGGAGCAGAAGGCTACGTTTCGACATTCACCGGGGATTCGTGGAGAATCTCCAACGGTACGATGGTTGTTGCCCGAGGCAATAAAACGGGAACTCTCTACCTCACTTCACATGCGAGTGACACCCTCGCAATTGCAGCTGGCAAGGAGAGTACAGATCTGTGGCACAATAGGTTGGGACACATGAGCGAGAAGGGGATGAAAATCCTACATTCACAAGGAAAGCTAACCGGGATCGATGCCGTGGAAGTCGGGGTTTGTGAAGACTGTATTTTTGGGAAGCAGAAGAGGGTTAGTTTCCAGAAGGGTGGAAGGCCACCTAAGGCTCAGAAGCTAGAGTTGATTCATACAGATGTATGGGGTCCAGCCAGTGTGTCTTCTTTTGGCGGTTCGAGATACTACGCCACCTTTATCGACGATCACTCGAGGAATGTGTGGGCTTACTTCATGAAGCACAAGTCAAAGGTGTTCGAAATCTTCAAGAAGTGGAAGGCCATGGTCGAGAACGAGACAGATCTGAAGGTGGAGTGCTTGAGATCAGATAATGGTGGAGAATACGAGCTGGAGGAGTTCAAGAGGTTTTGTGCTATGAATGAGATTCGCTTAGAGAGGACTACTCCAGGGACGCCGCAGCAGAACGGCATTGCAGAGAGGATGAACAAGACCTTGACAGAGCGTGCGCGAAGCATGCGATTACATGCAGGTTTGCCTAAGACATTTTGGGCGGATGCGGTGCATACGGTAGCATACCTTATTAATCACGGGCCATCAGTTCCATTAGATTTTGGGATTCCAGAGGATGTTTGGAGTGGAAAGAAGATAAATCTTTCACACTTGCGGGTATTTGGTTGCGTGGCTTATGTTCATATCAGTGACCATGTCAGGGAAAAGCTAGAAGCTAAGTCACAGAAGTGCACATTCATTGGATACGGCATTGATGAGTTCGGGTATCGCCTTTGGGATGAGAAGAATAGGAAGATCATCAGGAGCCAGGATGTGATATTCAATGAGGAGGTGATGTACAAGGACATGGACAATGCCAAGGATAGCCAAAGCAGTGGGAGCAGCACTACGGATACAGGTGGATCCGAGTACATGGATATAGAGGAACTTCCAGATAGGGGTGATGATGTTTGTTCTGACCGTAGAACGGAGGCAGCTCCAGGTGCAGAAGAAACTACCCAGGGCCTGGAGCTTAGGAGGTCATCCAGGGTACCCAAACCAAATCACAGATATCTTTCATCTCTTGACTATTTATTGTTGACAGATAGTGGTGAGCCAGAAAGCTATGAAGAAACAAAGCAAGTGAGTGAATCTCAGCAGTGGGAGCATGCGATGCAGGAGGAGATGAATTCTCTACTCACTAATGAGACATGGAAGTTAGCCCAGCTACCTGCGCAGAAGAAAGCCTTGCACAATAAATGGGTCTACCGGGTCAAGCAGGAGAGTGATGGAAGCAAGAGATTCAATGCCAGATTAGTAGTGAAGGGGTTTTAACAGCGAGAAGGAGTGGACTACACGGAGATATTTTCCCCTGTTGTGAAACTCACAACCATTAGAGTAGTGTTGAGTTTGGTGGCTGCAGAAGACCTCTTTCTTGAGCAGTTAGATGTGAAGACTGCCTTTCTTCATGGTGACTTGGATGAAGAAATCTACATGAAGCAGCCTGTTGGCTTCATTGAAGAAGGAAAGGAAGAGATGGTGTGCAAGCTCAAGAAGAGCTTATATGGTTTAAAACAGGCTCCGAGACAGTGGTATAAGAAGTTTGATAACTTCATGCAGAACAATGGCTACAGAAGATGCAATTCGGATCATTGCTGTTATTTCAAAAGGTTCGAGTCCAGCTTCATTATTTTGTTATTATATGTTGATAACATGTTGGTAGCAGGATCATGTTTAGAGGAGATAAACAGTTTAAAGAAGTAGCTAGCAAATGAATTTGCAATAAAGGATCTGGATGCAGCGAAGCAGATTCTAGGGATATGAATCAGTTGGGATGAAGCTGAAGGGACATTAAGATTGAGCCAAGCTGAATACATTGAGAAGGTACTTCAGAGGTTCAACATGCAGAATGCTAAAGTTGTTAGCACACCCCTTGGAAGTCAGTTCAAGTTATCTGAGGAGCAATCGCCTAAGACAGATGCAGATAGAGAGCATATGAGCAGGGTGCCATATTCTTCAGCCATTGGGAGTCTCATGTACGCGATGGTTTGCACGAGGCCGGACATCGCCCATGCAGTGGGAGTTGTGAGCAGATTTGCAAGCAATCCAGGAAAGCAGCATTAGGAGGCCGTCGGGGTATGTTTATACCTTAGCGTCGACAGCAGTGAGCTGGGTCTCACGTCTGCAGAAGATTGTGACTTTGTCTACAACCGAGGCTGAGTATGTCGCGGTGACTGAAGCAAGCAAGGAGATGATCTGGTTGAACGGGTGCTTGGAAGAGTTGGATCTGAAGCAAGGGAGAGGAGTTCTTTATTGTGATAGCCAGAGCGCTATACATCTTGCTAAGAATCCAGTATATCATGCCAGAACGAAGCACATCGACGTCAATTATCATTTTATACGCTCGCTAGTTGAAGACGGAAAGTTGCATTTGATAAAGATTTTTGGGAGTCAAAATCCGGCGGACATGTTGACAAAGACAGTCACCATTGAGAAACTGAAGTTGTGCGCAACTTCAGTTGGCCTTCACGAGTAGAAGACGAAGGCGGAGCCACACTACGAGGATCGGCGAGATCGTCGGGATGTTAATGATTGAAGAATGAATTTTTTCAAGTAGGAGAAGATGCTTGCGAGAAGGCGGAGTTCGGGAGAGCTCATTGATGGTGGTTTGATCTCCAAGTGGGAGATTGTTGGTCTTGAAAGTGGAGACCCAAATCTAGAATCAAAATCAACAATAGCATGAAAATTCAAGACAGACCATGGGTGTGGTTTGCACCACACCAGGGTGTAACAGAATCTGCCCTGTCTGTCATGGGTGTGGTCTGCGTCACACCAGGGTGTGGCAGAGTCTGCCCTGTCTGCCATGGGTGTGGTCTGCGCCACACCAGGGTGTGGCAGACTCGTTTTAAAATCCTAATCTGTTTGGGATTGTGTTTTGTTATAAATAGAAACACGTCCCTTTAGGGTTTAAGAGAGAAAAAGAGCACGAAAAAAAGAGGGTTTTGAGGGCTCTTTGTGGTTAGAAATCTTAGAGAGAGGGAGGCCAATTGCAAGCATTGTAATCTTCTTCAAGTAATCAAAGAATTGTGTGGTGTGGCTCCCGAGAACGTAGACACGTTGCCGAACCTCGTTAAATCTGGTGTGTTCTTTCTTGTTTACTTTCCTACAAGTTTTTATATTTGATTTGTAGTGAATTTCCTTCTTGCTCAACTCTCAAACACAAGATCCTGAAGGGTACGGATTTGATTTGATTATTTCGAATCCCCAACAGGGAGGACCTAGTTTATCTGGGGTTTATTGGTAAGGACGGGGAATTCGAACTCGGGCCTTGGTTCGGGATCCTCCTGCCTTACCAAGTTTCCCCCACTATTTAAATATTAAAAAAAACAAGTGTATGTAAATGTTTCCATTATATTGTTTGATCATGTTGATTACATGTTGAGGTGTAAGACCAAGCGTCAGCGCAATTTTATCCGAGTTTGTAGTTAGATTTCCTTGAAGATAAACATCCAATACTTGCATATTTTTCCATGGTAACAGATTTATTATAATTATAAAAGTAATTTATAATAAATATACATAGGTACTCATGCATCTATTAATTAGTTAATATACCCTTGAGCGTCAATTTTAATGAACCAATATGAAACTTTTTGTTTTTTTTTTAACTTTTATTTTATTTTATTATTTCCACATTTTCAACATATTCAATAGCTCATGTAATTTCCTCAAGCTGGTACATATTTTGCTTTTTTACGCATCCGCTTGATATCCGAATGAATTTAGATACCAGATGATATTTTACGCCCTTGATCGCCACTTATAACAATCATAAAAGTTTACAAATTTACTTGACTGTTTTGTTTTGTTTTGTTTTAATTTTTTTTAAAATAGGCATAAATCTCAAAAACTCAAGACCCTTTCTATGTCATCCAGCAGAATCTCTTCAAATTAGAACAATTTTTTAAAACAGCCTCATTTCATTTTTTTATTTTTAAATTCGATCTTTTTTTTTATTTACCAAAAACGACCTGTTTTTTGCCATGTCAACCTAATCACCCTCCTAAACAGTCGGGGTTGCCAACCCCGACTATTTAGGACATAAAACTTTAGGGTTTAAGGCTTCTAATTGGGGTTTAACACCCTCCCTCCTAAACCCCAATTAGAAGCCTTAAACCCTAAAATTTTATGTCCTAAATAGTCGGGGTTGGCAACCCCGACTGTTTAGGAGGGTGATTAGGTTGACGTGGCAAAAAACGGATCGTTTTTGGTAAATAAAAAAGAGATCGATTTTAAAAATAAAAAAAATGAAATGAGGCTGTTTTGAAAATTTGTTCCTTCAAATTAATTAGATACATACAAAAAAAAGTTAGATTGTGTCACGCTTAAATATATGGAAAATGATAGGGACATATCATAACCACAACTCCAACCATACCCTCTCATTTGCTACAGTGCACCTGGTTCTACATTGGATTTAAAATCCTATGTGGGGCCCGGTGTACTGTAGCAATGAGAGAGTGTGTGTGGTTGGAGTTGTGGTTAGGGTGTAACTTTAGTGCCACACTAGATATATATAGGTGAAGATTTTGAGGTTGACGTGACAGCCATCAATTTGGCACGTGCACAAGACCCCCCTCGCTCGGAAAGCATATTGAAAAGGTTAAAAAAAAAAAAAAAGAAGCCGCAGCGCGGACTCTCTCCATTCAGTGTTTGCATTCTTTCCTTCATCAACGCTCTCAAACATTCCAACTCCAAACCTACAAGTTCTCTCTCAACAAACCACAAAAAAAAAAAAAAACTCCCCCCTCTTCTTCCCTCTCCCTCCCCCCTCCCTCTCTCTCTCTCTCTCGTCCCGGGGTATGTTTCTCTTCTCTCTCTTTCTCGCCTGTTTGTTCGTTTAAATGCCCCCCTATAGGATTCATATATATATAGTTCAATTTTCTCAAACAAAACATCACATTATTGCACCCATCACGCTTTGGTCTTGATACTAATGTATTTATACCCATCATGATTCCAGAAACAATCTCGGGCTGCGTCGTATCGGGTCATCACTCTTCGAGGAAGAGCGGGAGGGGGTCGTCGTTCGAGAGCCTCCGATTTTCTAATGCGGGTCAGAACAGAACCAAAAGGATCAGTTCGCGCGATCTGCCCATCGAGGCCCACTGGCACCTGCCCGAACCTGACAAGAAGAAGAAGTTCTCGCTGTCGAAGATGAGCTTTCGGGCGGTGCAGGAGTCGCTGAAAGGGATCCAGAAGAACAGCGCGTTCAGTAATGTCTTTCAGCCGGCTCATGACCCGAAACATGAACACCTAGTGAGGTCTTTGAGGGAGTTGCTTTTAGCGTCTGACGAGCTTCCGGAGAGATTTGATGAGTATCATACCCTTTTACGGTATGATTTTTTGTTTTGTTTATCTTTCATCTAGTAAAAAAAACCCTTGTTATAATTGCTTCATCCATGAATTTGGCACCATTTACGCAAAATTTGAATAATCGTTTCATAGAGTCCTCCTCGACATAAAATTGTGTTCCATAGCGTGGATGATATTTTTCGGAGTTTCTTTTGTATCATTTATTGATTTCAAACTATGTTACAAAAAGAGTCATAACACCTGATGAAATTTTTGTTCTTTTTTCCTTTAGTTTCCTTCGAATGAGGAATTTTGATTTGATGAAGTCAAAGCAAATGTTCCTAAACATGATGAAGTGGCGTGAAGAAAAGGGTGTAGATGCAATTGCAAAGGTATGAGATACATCCTGCTGGTGCTATCGGTATGTCTTCTGCTAGTAGTAAAATTTTCCAAAGATTAGGTTCTTGCAGGTCTAGGTAGAGAATTATGTTAATGATTGGTCGTAAACATTCCATACTAGTTCGAAGCGCAAATGTTCATCTGTGAATTACAAGGATTCAAAATAGTTTGAAGTGCAAACGTTCATCCGTGGATTACAAGGATTCAATATAAGTCTTAACATTAGAAATGGCGATATGTGGTTCCTAAATGTGCACATCCAAAACCTTAATCTAACAGTTCTGTCCTCAAAAGTGAGACATGGAGCAGCCTATGTTTTGTAACTAGCTAACTGAAATAGAGTTATACAAACTGCCACAAAGGCAAGCAGTGCGTTGTTGTTTGAAGCTTTCAGGATTCAGAATTATTACAGCAGTTGTGATATGCAGGATTTCACATACGAGGAGTATGAAGCAGTTAAGAAATGCTATCCACATGGGTTTCATGGAGTCGATAAATACGGAAGGCCGCTATATATTGAAAGGATAGGGATGGTTGATCTTACCAGTCTACTGAATATAACAACAATTGACCGCTACATTAAATATCACATTTCCGAACAAGAAAAGACATTAAATTTCAGATTTCCTGCTTGCTCACTTGCGGCTAAGAGGCATATAGCCTCGGTTACTACTATTCTGGATGTCGAAGGAGTGGTGAGTACCAACATTTGTTAGTGGACCTGTATGTATGTAATATTTGGTTAATTTTGAACTCCATGATGTAGGGTGCCCATAGTTTCTCGAAGCCTGCTAGAGAATTGTTTCTGGAAATTCAGAAGATTGATAGCAGTTACTACCCCGAGGTACGTTGTTCGCTATTTTGAATGTAGGATTAGCCCACTGTTAGTTTTCTAATCATATCTTCATCTTTTGATGTTAAATCATCATCTAAGAAGAGATTTAGTTCAATTTTGTTTTGATTAATAGATACTTTCTCCTACCGTAGATTTAAAAGCTCTTACAATAACTATCACGAAATCCTAGCCTGGACACTTTCGGTTCAACCTTGGCATTTGCACATGTGCATTTCTTTTCATCTGTTTATGTCAGATGCCAAGCTAAATTCTGATTGCATAGTTTCGACTTGTATAGAGAGATATTCGTACAAATACGCCCCTAAAAGCATGGATTCGTGCTGTATTTCTCTCACATTTATGAAGGTGTCTGGTTGAGCAGCTAATATTTAAGTAGTTGATGTGTGAATTATCCCATGTTGGAAAAATAGAGGAAACTATGAAGTTGAGCTTGAAAACAGGCCCGAAACGAAATCAGTTAACCATTTCCCCACAAAAAGTGGTCTGAAGCAATTACCAATGCCTTACTACACTAATAAAGTCTTTACATGGCTCACTGTCTTGAGTCCCAACTGGCGGTATCAGGGTTCAGCTGATAATTCCTAGCTAATGACTGTTTGAATTGCTTCGAGATTGTTTTAATACATTAATGTACATATACTTATCAGAGCACTTTATATCATAACTGTTGCCTTCACTATCTCCAATACTTTCCTTTTTCATATTTATTTCTGAATCCTAGTTGATCATATTGATTCCTAGATAACATAACACATAAATAGCTGTGACAGGAAGAACCAGTGATTGACATTTTTCAGATCAACTTGAAGTTTTCACCTTACCTCCAGGAACCTTGTCATTTACTCTTAGGTGCTACTTTTGTATTGTATATAACCGATTGATCCCTTCTCTGCTTGTTCTTAGACTACACAGTCGAAGCCAAATTTCTTTACTAGAGAAGTTTTTTTTATTTTTTATGATTCTGCTTATAGAAGCTTCTCATTTGATTACTGGTTATATATCATGCATTCTTATGTAACTAATAACATTCATTTGTTTTCTTGGTCAACTGCAGACACTACATAAATTATACATTATAAATGCTGGGCCCGGGTTTAGAATGCTTTGGAAAGCGCTAAATACTTTCATGGAGGCGCGCACATTATCAAAAATACAGGTAAAATCTCATCATTTTGTTGGAAATGAGGAGATATATCAACTCATTTAGGAGCAGCTGTGTTTACCTTCCTTATTTTAAATGGAAAAAGTTCATGTTCAGGTGTTAGGAGGCAAGTATCAGAGCAAACTACTTGAAGCTGTAGATCCAAGGTACATATATCAAGTACTGAAGTATTAAGGGAAATATCTTTTTCATTTTACTGATCAAAAGTTGTGCATTTCTATAGTAATTTGCCAGAATTTTTAGGTGGGAGCTGCAAATGTTTGGAACACGGAGGCTGCCTGTTGAAAGACAAGGGACCGTGGACCAACCCAGAAATCGGTATACTCTTACAGGTAAATTGGCTATTCAACGCATTATTTTCATTTGGTGATCGAGGTTTTTTCTTACTAAAACTTCAAATACAATCTGTCTCTAACTTCAGGAAGTTTACAGTAAAGGTCCGAGGTCTGCTGAAGAACCAAGCAGTAATGTGGCTGTCGAAGAATCTGCAGATCAACCCCAGAGTGTAATATCCTTAATCATTCTTCTCTTAAACAAATTTAGACCTTGTCTTCTTGTAAATCATCACCCAATCTATTAAATGACACCGTCCTTACACAGGGTGGTTCTAATGGACATCGAAAGCCCGACAATAACAGTAGAAGGATGTCACTAAAGGATGCTCTCATGTCAGACGAGGTAATTATGAAGTATATTTTAGGCACTCATCTAAAAATGCTATAAAGAGAATAACACGTCCAATACCGATGCAGGATTACGATGGATTGGAGCAAAATCAACAGAAGAGCTATGTTTTCGACCAAATAGTGCAGAAGGTTCTAGCGGTCGAAGGTTGCCTCGAGGATACGAGGGAGGTGGGCTTAAATAGTTAGACCTCTAACATATCATTTTTTTTTCCCAACTAATCGATTTTTTATTTTGTGTTTTGCTTTTTCCATCTCAGATGTTGCAAAGACTTGTGCGTAAGCAGCAGGAGTTAGAAGCTCATATAAAGGAGCTAAAGAAGCTGTCCTTGGTAAGAACATCATCCCTTATTCATTATTCCCTGTAGTATTGCTGTTTTGAACTGACTAACCCTGTGGTTTCATTGTTGCGAATAGACGCCTCGAGTCACATTTCCTTTTTTACTGTTTTACCCTCTGCCTCACCAATTCCACCCGAGGACGGGGTCTATTAGCAACAATGAAACTACAGCGGTAGTAAGTTAAAAACAACGATACGACAGGGGGTCTACACGCAATTATCCCTTTCTCTGCCTCAGAATTCTTCTTCAGCCCTGAACATCCTCTGATTACTGAATAACAGAATTGACGGTGTGAAGTATGATCCTGGCGGTAAACGGACAATGGAAACGTGGAGTTCTCCATCACAGATACTATTCAATGTGGTATAAGTAATCAACTTTATTCGTTCGGGAGGACAATGTATATGAAAATTTCATTTATGAAGCAAATTAAAAGTTATATCTTAACTTTTACCGTAATCTAGGACAGTCTACATATTTCCTAATTTAGCTTGATCTATTTTTAGTTTTTCTAACTAATTCTTGTTCCCCACCCTGCCGTGTATTGTGTCTTGGTACATGTCACATCAGTTTCCACAGTTTGAAAGAAGAGCATGCATGTACTTGATGCTTACAGATTGAATACCCACTACATGCTTTGATTCTTCATATTTGGCTACTTATTTTATGTAATTCTTTAATGTGAACTCATCATACAATAGGAAGGTACGTTACCTCTTTATACACTTCGATCCTTACACTCCCGTTACAGCCCAGCGCCAACCTTCCTGTACATACCCGGGCAGCGCCGACAGCGCAGCCGCTGATCCCGAGGAACACCGGGTGACAGCAAACCGGGTTCGGCTCGATATCCGCAGACCGGCGATACACTAAGTCCCGCCACCAATTCGCCCGCCGCTCGCCTGATCAGCCTCATCCACCCTACCCTCTCCCAACCTTATCCTTCCTCCTCCGCACTCCCAGGCTCTGCGCCCTCCTCCTCCTCCCGCCACATCCTCGTTATCCGATAAATCCAATATACATGAAGAAATATGTACCCCTCGACGCGAGGGGCGTTTTGAAGCCCGTCAGGAACGCGCGCCCGACCGGGAATGCCTTGCCGGGCTTGCAGCCGCGGCGACCTCGCCAAATCTCGCTTGGCCCGGCGGGCTGGCCATCGGGCAGGCGCGTCGGTCCGATAGTGAGCGAGTTTTGAGACGTACTGGAAGGTTTTGACGAGCTTGTCGATTCCGTCGCGTTTCGCGAGGAAGACGACGAGCTTGTCGACGCTGTCGTTGGCCATGGATTCAGATAGAGGTCGAGGATGAAGAGTGGACGTGCGGAAGCAGAGATTTTTGGTTGAGCTTGTGGGTGGAAAATATGTACATGCGATTGGATAATAGTCGGGGTTCGTTTCTGGCTGTGATGATCCCTCTGTTCACGGGGAGGTATTTTTGGCTGTTTGTTCTACCAGTCGTTTTGAGTTTTTTGGATGAAGATTAATAAAGAACTATATACTTCTAACGAATTGGATCCTCTCTCTCTCTCTCTGCTGAGGGGAAAGAAAAACAAGAGAGATCATTATTTTTAGTCTTAACCATTGATTATTTATTAGCCGGTTATGATATAATCTAAATCTAATGCTCATCGTATTCCGTGTATTGTGCTTTTTCCTAATTAGCACTTAAAAGAAAAAAAATCACAATCACCGGCTAGATAATTAATAGTTGTGATTATATAGTGATCCCTCCGCTAGCGGAGAGGATCCGAATCCGCTTTTAACTGTTGTATGGGCGAATAGTAGTTAAGGACCAAGTTTAACATGTCAAAATATGTGTTCAAATATTCCTAAAATTTTAGAGATTTTGAAAGTAATTTAACAATAAAATTTATGATCGTGCTTGGGAAGGCTTATGTTTGAAGTATGTAACATATGCTCGGCTTTAATGGCTTTTGGCTTTATAATAAAATTTTCAAAAAAAAAAAAAATCTTATGATAAGAAAGGCCAAATGTGGCTAAATTAGATGTGCTTGTGAGCCGATTTTTCAAAAAAACATAGGGATACTCTAACCTTTTTAAATTGCGCTTAAAATGTAGCGTATGTGATACATCACTAAACATGTAATATGGAAAAACTAATTTGCAAGCTACTTTTGATAAGTAGTTAAAAGAAAAAGCTCCCCAAAAACACCCCTCTATATATATATCGCAGCCCCAACAAATATGAAATATTCGAACAAATAAACCTAACGCTCACAATACAAAGATAAACATCTATTTAGTGCGGGATGATATATAACAAGCAAAATTGACCCGCAACATTTGTATGAAGAAGATAAAAAATAATAATAATAAGCATTTTACATAAAAAATAATAATAATAAGCATTTTACTTTTGTTGTTGTTCTTCGCAGCAGCTTAGTTTTACTTCTATCAAAAAGAGAAAGATAAACACTAATTTATGCCCTCTTAACCTTATTATTATTATTATTATTATTTCTGGCATAAAAATTATAACAAGATAATAACATCAAATAGAGGGTCGTATCTGAAAATTACAGACATCTGCCGCCAAGCCATTTTCCCCCGCGTCCTATTTTCTCTCGTTTGATTTCTCCATATCTCGTTTGATTTCTCAAGTAAGAAATTGGTTTCCATTTATTATGTTAAAACAATAATAAGGAAGATACATATAAAATCATGGTGCGTATGATGTAGGGTTTAAACTGCTAAGATTCATGAAGAATGAAAATGATATATTGTACATTTGAGATTATAAACAGGAATCATATTTATAAACTCTATCGTCACGAATGATGAAATTTGGTCACTGTTTTATTAAAGTCTGGACCTCCAACAATGGAACAACAGTCTGTTACTCCAGTGGAAAGTAATGTGCTAGACAACATGTGATGTCAAAAGATTTAAATTTAATAAAACAATGAGAATTTTTCTAGTGGAAAGTAATATGCTAGACAACGTGTGATGTCAAAAGATTTAAATTTTTAATAATGGATTTTGTTAAGAAGTTAACAACTCTTAAGTACCTTGTGTTGGTCTAGAGCTGTCTATGCCATTGCTTATCGTCTGATTGTCTTTATTTATTTATTTATTTGCGGTTCATTTCTTAAAACCCATAATGGATGTTGTGAGAACATAAACCTGAGCAAAGTGATGAGGTGGTCAGGCTTTCTTGGCTTCAGCATCAAAAGCTGTCAACTCTTAATGTTCAAATATATCACTACATAATTACATGTCCTTCGTAATTTCACTTTCATTTCATTCTTCACAAATCTTAATTAAGTTGACAGTCACAAGCATAATGACGAATATAGAAGCCATCAAGCTTTACAAGCAATACGAAAGTAACTAACTGCATCAAGGCTTAAACAAAGCAACAAAGAAATTACTCTTAATGAAATACTATTATGCTAAAATAGTGTAGACTATTGTAATAGGTCAGAGTTTCGACATATCTGAATTGTTTCAAGATTTTACATAATGTTTATGGGTTGTAATGCTTATAGGCTGTAATATGCTTGTCCTTCTTAACGCACTTCAAGCCCTTGACTTTGAGGGCGACTTCGCTGTTGTAAGAGGAGCAGATCTCATTCTCCTACTCAGCATGGACAAAAAAGATAGTATAAGATGCATTTGCTAACATTTAAGGCTGTAATATGCATGCATTATTGTAACTTGAATGATATTGTCAGTGATACATCCTGAGATTTAGTATAAGGTGGTAGATGCATGTGTTGTTGCGACATGCAACATTGTTTTGTGTATTTGTTTCTACTTGGTTATGATTATAAGAAGAAGTGCATAATGTATATATTCTGCTTCTGTGACAGAATTGAGATGCATTTGCTAACATTTTCTTGGCGTCGACTGTGAACAATTGTGAATTGGTGGAACCTTGCAGCTTGCAGCTTTATTTAAGGATCCTAGATCGTAGCGATTTGGATCACCTGTTTGCTAGCGTAGGTAATAAAACGTCACTAGATCGTGTTCTTCTCGTCTGGGGCGGGCTTGGGAGGAATCCTCGCAAAAAAAAAACGTTCCTGAAGAATGATGGTATGTGGCTCTGTAGTCATGTATTGAATATCAGACATCGACGGATATCACAGTGAAGAACTTGTGCCTGATATCATTGGTGGTAGGTCAGTCGAATACATGGGGTACTTCGACAAGCTTAACTTATGCTTGATATAGTATCCAATTGGGAGAGAAAAATGGATAAAAGTGAAGGTTGTGTACGCACGAGGGATGATTGGTATAAGTGATATTATCGATGAAAATTGAGGGTGTAAAAATAAAATTAAACAAAAAAAAGACAAGAAAGAATATGTAGTGGAGATGCGGGGTATCGATCCCCGTACCTCTCGCATGCTAAGCGAGCGCTCTACCATCTGAGCTACATCCCCTGCTGATCTCCCGTTTGAGAAACTCCCACTATCATTTACAGTCGCTGAAGAGGACGGCTCTGGCTCTTGCCAAAGACCGCAGTCTCACCAAAGAAGCGACTACCCACAAATGCCTCAATACATAAATCCCCATGCACACAACTTCAAGAAAAAAATGGCAACCAATAACCTCCTTATCACATCTATCCATTTTGATTTTCATGAGATCTCAACAACCACCACCAAGGATCCAACATTTCTAGCCCGCTCAATTTAAAGCCACCCCAAAAAAAAAGAATAATAATGGAAAAGGAGAAAAGCCCATGCACATAATCAGGTATACATCTACACTTCCGGCACAACATCATCCCCAACCGCCAGAGGCGATGACCTCGCCGCCTCCAACTTTGA